GCTTGATCTCTTTGGCTTTTGAAACTTGTGTATGCTTTGCAAACTTCTTGTACTGTGTTTTACAGCTCCCTCAAGTCATTTATGTTCTCTAAGACGGTTATTCTAGTTTGTATTTCATCTAACCTTTTTCACAGTTCTTAGTTTCTTTGCATTGGGTTAGAACATGTTCCTTTAGTTCAGAGAGGTTTGTTATTACCCACATTTTGAAGCCGGCTTCTATCAATTCGTCAAACTCATTCTCCATCCAGTTTTGTTCCTTTACTGGTGAGAAGTTGTGATCCCTTGAAGGAAGAGAGTCATTCTGGTTTTTGGTGATTTCATCCTTTTTGTGCTGGTTTCTTCTTATCTTCATGGATTTATCTACCTTTAGTCATTGAAGTTGGTGACTTGGATGGCATCTCTGAGTGGACATCCTTTCTGTTGATGTTGAAGCTATTTCTTTCTGTTTTTTAGTTTTCCTTCTAACAGTTAGGCCTCTCAGCTGCAGGACTGCTGAAAGTCTACTCCAGACCCTGCTTGCCTAGGAATCATCTGCAGGGGCTGCACAACAGTAAGGGTTGCTGCCTGGTCCTTCTTCTGGTATCTTCATCCCAGTAGGGTTCCCGCCAGATGTCAGCCAGAGCTCTCCTTTATGAGGTGCCTCTTTGGATATATGGGGGTCAGGGAGACGCTTCAGGAGGCAGTCTGTCCCTTATCAGAACTCCAGTGCTGTTCTGGGAACTCTGTTGTTCCGTTCAGAGCTGCTGGGCAGGGACGTTTAAGTCTGCTGCAGTGGAACTCACAACATGGTTCCTATTTTCATGGTTCCTATTTTTCAGTGGCTTCAAAGCCTATAGCATCCTCTACTGTAAACATAATTTAGAACGTGAGGATGTATTGGCATACCTGTGTTTTATATAGCTTTTAAAGTGCATCTATTAGTGAATACACACACACACACACACATAATGGAAATTCCTAGCTTGAGGAAAAAATGGTTTCACACAACTGTATCTGCTGGTTGCTTATTGAGGGTCCTAGAAACAGCTAATCATTGCATTTCATGTTTCATCACAAAATCTAGGTGTGTTCTTTAAGATGCTCTTTTGAAAAGTGTATGCATGACAATTAAATGGTCCCTATCAATATTCTCACCTTGTTTTCAGGTCCATAGCATGGCTTGTGTATACCTCAATAGAAGTCTTTTCAAAATAGTTTGATGAAAGTTGAATTCTGTGTGCTATGTTTGTTTAGGGAAATGTGTTCTTCAGTCTTCAGTGATGGATTGTTTTGTGTTTAACCACATCCAGTTTTAGCAGAGCACACTACAAAGTATTTCTCTCCTAACTTTGTCATCTTCTGCTCCTGTAATTTCAGAGCAATTGCTTTGCTCCCCTCTGGAGCTATTTATACCGAAAATTTTCTGTTTATGTGTTACCAATTCACCTGTACAGAGATAAGAGCAGGCCCAATAAAATGCAATTCATGCAATTTTTTTTCTTTGTTCGTTTCCATCACATGGATAAATAAGACCCTTAATACAAAAGTGATTCAAAAACTTCTCACTAGTTACTTCATAAATGTCTGGATCAGAGTCAAAATATTTATACTCTGCTTTAGCAGAGTAACACAAAAGAAAATAATAGAAAAACTTCAAACCACCCATAACTTCCTTCATTATATAAGGAAACATGTTGGTAATATTGGTGTTTGGAAGAAATCCATTCCTCTCTTCCAATACTGGAACTGGTATACTATGTTTCTAAATATTCCTACTATGTGCACATGAGGATTTACCATCTGAGGGAAACAAGCACATGGAAGAGAGAGAGAATAAAAGTTTCAGTCTTTTGTCTCTGGGGCTCTGTTCAGCCTCCCATGCAGTCCTCTTTCAGTCATTCCCTTCTCATATCCTCCCATCCTCCTGCCTCCTTGCATTGCCTTTTTCCCCCCCAAGACCGAATCTTGCTTTCTTGCCCAGGCTGGAGTGCAGTGGTACTGTCTTGGCTCACTTCAACCTCTGCCTCCCAGGTTCAAGTGATTCTCCTGCCTCATTCTCCTAACTAGCTGTGATTACAGGCACATACCACCACACCCAACTAATTTTTGTATATTTAGTAGAGATGGGGTTTCACCATGTTGGCCAGACTGGTCTCAAACTCCTGACATTGTGATCCGTCCACCTTGGCCTCCCAAAGTGCTCGGATTACAGGTGTGAGCCACCAAGCCCAGTCCTCTGCTTTTTAAAATTCTTTTATATTTGTCTCACTTGACTCCTTAGATCAGTCTCCCAAGTTACTTTCCTTACTCTCACTTTAAACAAAGTCTCAGCTTCTATGAAATGGGTCATTTTTTTAAATTGTACTCTAGGTTCTGGGGTACATGTGCAGATCATGCAGGATTGTTGCATAGGTACATACATGGCAAGGTGGTTTGCTGCCTTCCTCCCCCCATCACCTATATCTGGTATTTCTCCCTACTTTATCCCTCCCCATCCCCAGCTGTCCCTCCCCCTTTCTCCCCCAACTGACCTGACTGCAGTGTGTGATGCTCCTCTCCCTGTGTCCACATGTTCTAATTGTTCAACACCTGCCTATGAGTGATACCATGCGGTGTTTAATTTTCTGTTCTTGTGTCAGTTTGCTGAGAATGATGGCTTCCACATTCATCCATATCCCTATGAAGGACATGAACTCATCGTTTTTTATGGCTGTGTAGTATTCCAAGGTGTATATGTGCCACATTTTCTATATCCAGTCTATCGTTGATGGGCATTTGGGTTGGTTCCAGGTCTTTGCTATTGTAAACAGTGACACAATGAACATATGTGTGCATGTGATTTTATAATAGAACAATTTATAATTCTTTGAGTATATACCCAGTAATGGGATTGCTGGGTCAAATGGAATTTCCATTTCTAGGTCCTTCAGGAAGTGCCACACTGTCTTCCACAATGGTTGCACTAATTTGTACTCCCACAAACAGTGTAAAAGTGTTCCTATTTCTCCACATAGTCTTCAGATTTTTTAATGATCGCCATTCTAACTGGCATGAGATGGTATCTCAGTGTGGTTTTGATTTGCATTTCTCTAATGACCAGTGATGATGAGCATTTTTTTCATATGTTGGTTGGCTTCATTGATTATCTTCTTTTGTAAAGTGTCTGTTCATATCCTTTGCCCACTTTTGAATGGGGTTGTTTGTTTTTTTCATGTTAATCTATTTTAGTTCTTTATAGATTCTGGATATTAGCCCTTTGTCAGATGGGTAGATTGCAAAAATTTTTTCCCATTTTATTGGTTGCTGGTTCACTCTAATGATTGTTTCCTTTGCTATACAGAAGCTCTGGAATTTAATCAGATTCCATTTGTCTATTTTGGCTTTTGTTGCCATTGCTTTTGGTGTTTTAGCCATGAAGTCCTTGCCTATGCCTATGTCCTAGGTTTTGCCTTGGTTTTCTTCTGGAGTTTTTATGGTGTTAGGTATTATGTTTAGATATTTAATCCATCTGGAGTTAATTTTAGTGTATGGTGTCCGAAAGGGGGGGGGGGGTCCAGTTTCTGCTTTCTGCACATGGCTAACCAGTTTTCCCAACACCATTTATTAAACAGGGAATCCTTTCCCCATTGCTTGTTTTTCTCATGTTTCTCAAAGATCAGATTTATCTTTAGAGTATTTCAGAGCAAAAAGAGAGGGGCCTTCCCTTCCAAGGGAGGGGTACAAACTCCTGCTTCCACCACCAGGTCTGCTTCATGGCTCCAGGGAAACTGCAGGGTTTTCTGTTTTCCTTTTCTAAAAGAGAAAAAATATGTGCTATATAGATATGTATATATAAATGTGTGCTTGGGAAGTTCTTTTGCACCAACCTACATGAGTGTTAACCACCGTTTTTGTTTTTTTCTTAATATTTAATTAGAACTGGCTACAAATAACTTGTAAAATATACTAAAGCCTTAAGTTTGCATTTCTTTATTTCTGGGAAATCTGTTTACTGAGTGGGATGACCTGTATTTACGAACTACATTTATAATTGAATTGCCCCTTCCCCCAGATGCATGAGAGATTTACTTAATTAGCATTGATTCCTTGTCTCCAAGGACTGAGAATTCCAACCGGAGCTTAGGTGTATATGGCGATATAAAAGCAATGTTGTTGTGTTTCTCTTTTGGGTAATAAATTGGCTTTAGAGAAATGCATCTTTTCATGACACTTGGGAATAAAGCTTGTGATTTGCTGATGTTGGACAAGGTTGAAGGCTCACTTTTGTTCAATTTTTGTCTACAGCTTAACATTAAATGTCTCCTCAGGTCAAGGGAATTTTACTCCCTCAGACTTACAGAGTTCTTAGATGAATTGAAAAGTATATTATAAAATAAAATTTGAAGATGAAAGGAGAAATAAGTGAGCCTCAGGTCCGAAAACTGGATAGATTATATAATTACTTTAGTTTGACTATAGAAAATTTTAGTGAAGAGTGTTTTTTCACCTAATATTAGCGTAGCAGAGAGATACTGAGGTGACTGATATTTCAAGGAGAAATGCGCTTAATGATTACAAATGCATAGCTAGAAATAGAGTTTACACAACCTTAGCCATACAGATTAATCTAGCAGATCTTCTCTAATACTAATACAAGAAAATATTATCGGATCTCTTTAAAAACTTCCACTAAAACATTTTTTTCTTATTCAGATGAAAATGCACTCTGTTTATGTAGAACAGGATAGGTCCCCATTGACTCTCAGATATTCCCCAGTAATCCAAGGATGGGAATTATCTCTATACCTGTATCTTCACCCAGTGCCGGTGAGATTTGAGAACTACTTCAGATCCTGAATACTGATCAAACTCATCAACTTATCCTCATCAATAGATAAAAATAAAACACCTTTCAAAGAGTCCGGTTCAAGTTTGCTGTTTATTACAGGGTATGAGAGAGTCCTAGCTAGGATTCTCAAAGGAAAAAGGACACTGAAGGTTTTACCCTTTGATTCATTTGTGATTTGATGTGGTTTTTGCAGTGGATCTCTTGAGCCTGTCAGCTGCATGTGATGCCTTGGACCAGCACAACCTCAAGCAAAATGACCAGCCCATGGATATCCTGCAGATTATTAATTGTTTGACCACTATTTATGATCGCCTGGAGCAAGAGCACAACAATTTGGTCAACGTCCCTCTCTGCGTGGATATGTGTCTCAACTGGCTGCTGAATGTTTATGATACGTACGTATGGCATGTTTCTTTTTCCCGAGCTCTGTCACAGGAGGCTTAGCTTACAGAATGGTAACAGTGTAATTAGCATTACAACAGGACCCCAGAAGCTGTGGACCTAACGCTGCCCCTGTGATAAATTATTTTTGCATTTATGACTTGAAAAGTATTTTGATAAACTAGGAGGTAAGAGCCAGAACGTATATTTCTCTCAGATTACAAAACAAACAAAACCCTGAGATACTCATTTTTCAAATAGTGGAATGAGTCAACATGTAGCCCTTGGTTCTTTCCCTTTCTCACCCACGGATTTTGGAATTAACTCCATATACTTCGGGAGTGGCTCCCTCTTATTGGTGGCCATGGATGTGTTCCCGGAGATACTGGCACACCTGTGTCCAGATCAGAGTGGTCTTAGCTGATACTTAGGATAACTTTGCAGATGATTATCAATGGATAGACCAAAAAAAAAAATGAAATAAGCCCTTAATGCAGCAAACTCAGCTCCTCAACCTCAAACAGAGAACATTTTCTGTTTTGTTTTGTTTTTGAATAAGATTTTATGAAGTTTCAGTTTGGCATCTCCATTCATCACTTTCTCTTAGAGAATAATTGTTTGTTTCTTTTGGATTGCACATGGGAGATATCCCCAGTTTGGATTTTTTTCTTGAGCTTAATGAAGACAGTTGAAGAAGGAAGCAGAAGGAATGGGTCTTAATTTTGCGGAAATTCTTCTTAAACCTCAAAATTATTACATGCCTCATTTCACCAATCAAGAACATATTCCCATTTGGAAATCTGGAGGGGTTTTCTGAAAAGAGTTGCAAATTAACTATTTGTTGTACACTTCTACCACCTTTTAAATTAAAATGTATACTTTTTTCCCCTTTATTGTAAGGTATTGCATTTTAAAATTTCAGGACCACCTGACTATTACATTCATGATACTTATCTGCCAAGTCCATGAACACACTGGATTTCTATTGTGGACTACATTTACATTTGTTTTGGTAAAAGTTTGTATTCAGGTTTCCCCTCAAATAGATTTTGGGGCTGTTTTCTTTGCAGATGACATGTGAATGGATTCTGAATATGTAACTTCATTCTGCCTGCCTGAAAATTATTTAGTGACTATTTTAAGTCCTTGAAGACCTAAGTTGCTGTATAAAGTGAATTTGTTAAATTGTAATTTACCTTTTCTTAAGAGGGAAAAAGATAAGACAATTTTCCAGTGATTAGAATTTCGTTAGTCCATTAGTGCCCAGGATTTCTTTTTGACTGAGGGATTTGATAAATGTTAGTAGTTGAAAATTGAGTATATTGTTCACCGAAAATAACTGCAGTTGGGACCTATTCTTTGTGATTTTGAAGTGCTAATTGACGAATTATTCTAAAATCTTTTCTTTTTTCTTTTTACCAATATGTAAGGTCCAGTAGCTTTTCATAATAAAATAAGAAGCCAAAAAACTATTGAAAGACGTTTTTTAAGCTTTAATCTTAGGTTTGGGAATACATGTGGAGGTTTGTTACATAGGTAAACTTGTGACCCGGGGGTTTGTCACGTATTAACCTATTTATGCCTAGTGTCCCATTATTGGAACACTAAGCTTGTAAGAGTTATTCAGATATCCTACTGCTGAAGGTTGTCGCCAAGATCTGATTTTTCACAAAAAATAATTTGCAACCTTTGGCATAAATGGGTTAAGCCCAGTACCCAATAGCTGTCTTTTCTGCTCCTCTCCCTCCTCTGACCTTCCACCCTCAAGACCCCAATGTGTGTTGTTCCCTTCTTTGTGTTTGTGAGTTCTTATCATTTAGCTCCCACTTATAAGTGAGAACATGAAGTATTTACTTTTCTGTTTCTGCATTAGTTTGCTAAGGGTAATAGCCTACAGCTAATCCATTTTCAAAAGACATGATCTCATTCTTTTTTTTTTTTTTTTTTTGAGATGGAGTCTTGCTCTGTCACTCAGGCTAGAGTGCAGTGGCATGGTCTTGGCTCACTGCAATCTCCTCCTCCTGGGTTCAAGCGACTCTCCTACCTCAGCCTCCCAGGTATCTGGGATTACAGGCACCTGCCACTGTACTCAGCTAATTTTTGTATTTTTAGTAGAGACAGGGTTTCACCATCTTGGCTAGGCTGGTCTCAAACTCCTGACGCCATGATGCACCCACCTCAGCCTCCCAAAGTGTTGGGATTACAGGTGTGAGCCACCATTCCCTGCTGATCTCTTTCTTTTTCATAACTGCATAGTATTCCATGGTGTAGATGTACCACATTTTCTTTATCTAGTCTTTTATTGTTGGGCATTTACATTGATTCTATCTTGAAAGAGATTTTCTACAAAATGGAAAACTTTTCATTCTTATTTTCCTTTTTCCCCATAGGTACAATTAGCTTATTAATAAATTTGTAAGTGGAATGCTTTATTTCAGCTTGATATATGTAAATTGAAATAAAAGCAATCTATATTAAAAGATTGATGTAGCAAGAGGTTATTTATAAATTTAGTTTTAGATCACAGTTGAATGCTATTTAATAGAGTATCATATTTTTCTTATAGAGATAGACATTTATATTTTATGTCTTATGTGGCATTGGAAAAGTCAGACCTTGAGCAGTAGGATATGAATAATTCTCACAAGCTTAGTGTTCCAGTAATGGAACACTAGGCATAAATGAGTTAATGCCTGACAAAAGCCACAAAATACACAAACCATTGATTTTTTTCCAACAAGGGGCAGTCTGATGAAGATCTGAGTGTTAAGAGGGCAGAGCAGTTCTTGGTAATTTTTTTGGTTTTAATGACCAAAGTAGGTAATTTGCTTTAGTACCCAAAGTAGGTTGGTGAAGAGTAGTAATTATTTTGCTTACTAATTTAAATCAAGGTCTCTTTCCATAGGTGAATAGATTTTTTTTCTTAATTTATGTAGAACTTTTGCATTTCAAATAAGGGTTTTTAGGAATTGAAACCTTGGTAAACATTCAGTGGTCAAGTTGGTCGAATTTCCATTGCATTGTAGGTCATCAGTTAAATGGATAATGAATTTGGAAAAGTTCATCATAATCTTAATAAAACAACAGTCAATAGAGTTCATACATCAAGCACTTTATTATTTTATTTTTCCTCTTCAAGGCTTTATTCTTAAGTAGAAGTGTTTATCCTCTAGCAAAGCACCAGTAATTATTTTCTCATTTGATTCTTTATAATAGGGGACGAACAGGGAGGATCCGTGTCCTGTCTTTTAAAACTGGCATCATTTCCCTGTGTAAAGCACATTTGGAAGACAAGTACAGATGTAAGTTATGTGTACTAACTCTGTATTCTTTTATTAATGTTGGCTAATTACCCTAGTTCTAGATGTGAAATGAAAGACTGTTCTTATTTGACAGCAAGTTCCTCATGGAAGATGTAGAACTGCTTTTAGAGTGTCATAAAATTTGGTGTGTTCCATTCCTTGTCAAACATTAAGTTGCAGGCATTTAAATGGAGAATGAGGATTAACTTTTCCAGTCCAAGTATTATTTTACATTACATTGACTGTGTTTAAATAAAACACATGTTCCTAGGGGATAAAGTCTGATTTTCTAACCTCTTTCTGTAAGTCGGAAAAATAAGTGTGAAGATTTAATCCCTGCACTTGTCTAGTCTTTGGATTCTTATTTAAAGAATACTGTGTGACATTCATGTTCTATAAACATTGTTTATTTTATAATCATCTTACTTCAAGTTGTACTGATACATCCAGTTCCACGATGTGACTAACATTTTATTCTTTGAGAGACAGATAGTTTGCTGTTTCTCAAAGGGTAGGTACATGCCATCCTACAGAATTTCCTCTTGATTATGCATTGGGATTTTTGCTTAAAAAATTCTAAAACAATATTAAAAGCAAATGTGAGAGAAGTGATGGTTCAGATGAGCAAGCAGCCATTCATTCCTATTGTAAAAGGCTCCGCTTGGTTTTCCTCTTGAAATGCTTATGAGCAATCTTCAGTAGGAATATTAAACAAACCCAGCCTAGCTTGTCTTTTCTCACTTCCCTTAATGCCTAGCCACACATGTGAGGAGATGTGCTGAGCTTCAGGACAGGCAGTAGATAAAAGCCACTCTGTGTCCTACTGATCATTCCTCCATCAGGAGTAAGCCACAAAATACACCAACCATTTTGGCTCTCACTCTTTTATAGTTTACACTTGAGTTTTCTCATCCTGATAACCAAAGAAAAATAACTGAACAGCTTTTGTTAACCATTTAAAATGTATTTTGGATAAGATGGGTTATCTCTGTGTTCTTTTCTCCTTTAAATATTGTAGTTACTTATAGGTTAGGTTTTAAGTCTACCATATATATGGTATAGGAACAGCACATTGTAAATATAATCTTAAATTGAATAATCGAGGAAGCTTTGAGCCTGTGTTTCAAGTAACTACTAAGAGGGAACATGTTTTAGGTTGGTGAAACAAAAATATTAACTGGAAAATGAGGTGTTTGAAAATAACTCGTAACTTTTAAAATAAACATCTAGTTATATGTATTTGGAGAGAAGGTAAAAAGCTGTGTGTGCAATCTCAATTTTTAGTGCCATCTTAAGTATCTTGTTAAAACTTTAATTGCCTAGAGTTTAAAGTGTGCTTATAAGTACAAAAAGCTTTTTTGGATTTACTTTTTTTGAGGGGCAATTTCTAGGTGAATTGAAGTTGTAATTAAAATTTAATTTCTGAGAACAAAATATAACATTGCAAGCATTTGGTATGTTCATTCATTCCGTTACATATATTGGTTACCTGCTATCTACCGGGTACTGCTGTCCTACTGTAGACACTTCTGGCACACAGTTGACCAAGATATGGTTCCTTCCCTCAAGGGGATATAATTCTCCTGCCAAAAAAGATAGACATGTATTAAATCAAGGCCACCGTAATGTGGTATGAACTACTAATTAGAAATATGCAGCCAGGTGCAGTGGCTCATGCCAGCACTTTGGGAGGCCAAGGTGGGCGGATCACTCGAGGTCAGGAGTTCAAGACCAGCCTGGCCAACATGGTGAAACTCCATCTCTACTAAAAATACAAAAATTAACTGGGTGTGGTGGCATGTGCCTGTAATCCCAGTTACTTGGGAGGCTGAGGCAGGAGGATAGCTTGAACCTGAGAGGCAGAGATTGCCGTGAGCAGAGATCACACCACTGCACTCCAGCCTGCACAATAGAGTGAGACTTCATCTCAAAACAAACAAAGAAAAACTATACACAGCATCCTGTGGAAACATATACATGATTGATGGTCTAGAAGTTCAGTGATCTTATGACTCCATAAAGAAGTCCCAGTAGCATTTTTGAATCTCTGGTGTCCAAAGCGGGTGGTGCTTTTGGCCAGTTATATGTCTCTTAATGCAAAAACACTTTTTGAGAGTTGTTACATCCTATATATAATAATTCCCAAGGATTATGTTCTGGCTTAGAAGAAATTTAAGTGTCAAGGGTACATGTAAAGCTTGTGCTTCTTGCAGCGACAGTTCATGTAAAAGTTATCACACTTCATATATATACAGTGATCATTAACTTGATTCATAAAATAATAAATATCCAGATTAGCACAAATTAGAAGTAACCTCTCACTGTGGAAATATTGGCTACTCTTGAGAATTGCTACTAGAATTGAATTGGATGTCAGGTTATGCTGGCGTCCATTGGGTACTGTGTTTTGATTGTTAACAATTTTATTCTTCCTTTGTAGACCTTTTCAAGCAAGTGGCAAGTTCAACAGGATTTTGTGACCAGCGCAGGCTGGGCCTCCTCCTGCATGATTCTATCCAAATTCCAAGACAGTTGGGTGAAGTTGCATCCTTTGGAGGCAGTAACATTGAACCAAGTGTCCGGAGCTGCTTCCAATTTGTAAGTTATTCACCTTCTAGGTAACATATTTCTTTCATAGTTTAGAAATTAGTTTAACCCACAGAGCTTCAGTTTTCATATTAGCTCTTCAGTAGGCAATATGCATGGGATTTAGGATATTTGGAACCTCTGTAGTAAGCAGCTTCTGGAACTCTAGGTTTTGGGAAAGAAGACAGTGCTGAGGAAGGAAAAGAAATCTCCATCTGCAGCAGGGACCCCCCAGTTACTGAGGTGCTGGAAGGGAAGGGAGTTTCCAGTGGTTCAGCAAGGGAGGAAATAAGTCTCTAGCCACAGAAATCCTATGTATATAAGAAAATGGCCTTTGTAGGTGAGTCTCTTAGTCTCCGAGTTCTTTCCCTAATTCTATTATTATAGCCTCCGTTAAATGGCTATTGGTAAATTGTTAGCACGGATATCCTTTTTTTTTTTAATGTCCTTTGTAGCATTGCCATTCTTCTATAATTACAACGTCTTGAGGTGTGTACTCTCTGCTAATGTCCATCACTAGCTGTACACGCTCTTGTCCATTCTCTTTCCTATCCTGCCCCAGTGCTTTTTCTCTATCATAGTCAGTGCCCCAGAAACACCCTCTTCTTTCCAAATGCCAGAGTACTCCACTGATAGACATTCATGTTGTTCTAATTTTTCTTATTTTCTCTTTTTTTCTTTTTTGAGATGGAGTCTTGCTCTTGTCGCCCAGGCTGGTGTACAGTGATGCGATCTTGGCTCACTGCAACCTCCACCTCCCGGGTTCAAGTGATTCCCCTGACTCAGCATCCTGAGTAGCTGTGATTACAGGTGCCTGCTACCACGCCTGGCTAATTTTTGTATTTCTAGTTGAGATGGGGTTTCACCAGGTTGGCCAGGCTGGTCTTGAACTCCTGACCTCAGGTGATCCACCAGCCTTGGCCTCCCAAAGTGCTGGGATTACAGGCGTGAGCCACCGTGCCCATTCTCTAATTTTTATTAGGTTTGTGGTGCTACAGGGAACATCCTTACCACTTAGCTTTTCTCTTCGAAGGTTTCTTTATAGGATTAATTCTCAGGTTTGTGATCGCCAGATAAAAGACTATAAACTTTTTTGGTGGCCTTTCTTCCAAAGTTGTTTATAATTATAATGCTATCACTATTGAAGAAGTAAGATATTTTCAGTATCACATTATTCACAGTGTAGAAGTTTTTTTTCTCATTTTTTTTTCAAGTTCTGAGAGCTGTTTTTCTTATATAGGCTTTCTCAATCCATTCTAATTCTATTAACAATGGCTGAGATTTACAAAATGGAACTTGCTGTAGAGTTAACTGGATTTATATCTGGAGTCTTTGACCACAGACTAGGATAAAACTCTAGAAGGGCAGAACACTGTGAAGATGTAGGTGTTTAAAGCAGAGTATTTATTTAATAGTTAATTGGACCAGTTTACTGGGTGCACCCAGAATAAGCTCACTTAGGTAAAGTGGGATATACTGTTTGAATTATTTTGTCAAAATTATGGAAAATTAGCCATAAATGTAAAATACATGTGGAGAAATAAATATCTTTTCCATATCATATCCAAACCTTCCAAAACACAGCTAGATGGTCACTACCTAGCTTTTTAGAAAATATATTGCTGTATTAATATTTCTACTCTAAAATGTAGACACATGTAACTTTCAAACAATGAATATTAATGGCCAGAAGGAATCTAGATTCATTTTCATTTTTAAAAATCCAATTATAAAACAACTTGCCATAAACGTTATTTCCTAGTCTTTTTTTTTTTTTTTTTTTTTTTAGACGGGGTCTCACTCTGTCGTCCAGGCTGGAGTGCAATAGTGAGATCTAGGCTCACTGCAACCTCCGACTTCTGGGTTCAAGTGATTCTCCTGCCTCAGCCTCCCTAGTAGCTGGGATTACAGGGCACCTGCCACCATGCCTGGCTAATTTTTTGTAGAGATGGGGTTTCACTGTGTTGGCCAGGCTGGGCTCAAACTCCTGACCTCAAGCAATCCACCTGCCTTGGCTTCCCAAAGTGCTGGGATTACAAGTCCTAATCATTTCTCCCCTTTAGTCAAATTACAGTTACTTTTTTAGTTCTAGTGAAACACACACACGTGTTCATATATAGGAATATATAACATATATGTGTGTGCATTGTGACTTGGGTTAAAGGTAAGGGTAAGTGATGGTCCCTGCTGCCGAGTAAACTAGGATGTATTCAGGGTCAGCTGGAGCCTTTGTTTTCTGTCACCCGTAGTACTGACTCATCAGGAAGCCACCACCATCCTCACTGCAGTCTCTGGCCCTCTTGGGTTTGGTTGTCAGGATAAGGGGTGGCCAAACAGAAGCTCTGCTTTTCCTGGGCTGCCTGCCTTATCAGAATGGATCATTCCATTTCTGCCTGCTGCCTCTTTCACTAGAAACCTCCTCCTCCCCTAAGCCCATGTCTCTGGTTTGGTTACATTTCTGTCTCTGTAATAACAACAACTCTGTATTCTCATCTTTGAAGCTTTGAAATCATCCATTCTTGCATATTTATTGAATGCCTCCATGCTGGCCAGCCACTCTCGTAGCTCTTTGAAATGTGAAGTGTGTTTTGTTTTGTTCTGTTTTGTTTTGAGAAGGGGTCTAGCTATGGCGCCCAGGTTGGAGTGCAGTCGCATGATCACAGTTCATTGCAGCCTCAACCTCTGGGCTCAAACAATCCTCCCACCTCAGCCTCCTGGGTAGCTGGGACTACAGGCATGGACCACCACACATGGCAGTTTTTAAAACTTTTTTGTTTTTATTTATTTGTCGAGACAGGGTCTCTCACCATGTTGCCTAGGCTAGTCTTGAGCTCTTGGGCTCAAGCTATCCACCTGCCTCAGCCTCCCAAAATGCTGGGAATACAGGTGTGAGCCATGGCATCCAGCCTTGAAATGTTTTATATGAGACTGGGGAGATATCAGTCAAGATATGAATGGTGGTAACAGGTGGCTTTTGATTTTTTCTGTATTATTTTTATTTTCTGCGTTTTTTTCTTTGAACATTTATAATTAGAAAAAAAATAGTAAAGTGCAGCATTTTTTTTTATGGAAAGAAACATGTTTTGTTTGACTGTTTTCCATTGCCATTCTTACATTGATTCCGGGGCTTCTCATCATTGCACTGTCTTCCTAGCAAGCCTCCACTCCACACTCTAATCCTTTGCGTTGGTCTTATTGCCCGAAAAGCATTCACCATATGACAGCATCCTTAAAAATGTCAGTATCTTTCTGTTGTCTACTGAACAAATCCTGATTTCTCTATTTAACTCTCAGAGCTTTCCTAATCTGGTTTCATAACCAACCATAGTTTGCTTTCACTGTCATGAAACAGCTTCTCCTCACCATTTGTACCTATTATGCTTATAAATAATATTGTTACCATTGCTACTAACAAAACTTTGTTCACATGAATTCTCTCATTTAATCCTTACCAAGTGTTTGAGGGGAACAGACTAGTCAGGCTTTGGAGATTTTGCTTTTATTATTGTTTAAGTGGATGAATAATTTATCTGTGCCCTTAAAGTCCCTCAGCTGGTGGAAGGGTTTGATGGCTAGTCCAAGGCCACATTTACCACCTCATTCTCAAATATGTAGTTTCTGATGCTTCTGCTCTCCAGCTTCCCGAGGTCAAACAACAGCTAGTTCTCCTGCGTCCTAGCTAGATAGCATAAGAAAAGGCATGATAAGACAGGGGACCTAGAGGGGGAAGAGGAAAGAGTTTAAAGTACTGGCAAATTGAATATTTCTAGTAAGATAGTAGTAAATTCCGTATGTATGGTGAGGCTTACATTGCTTAGATTTGAGGATCCTCTCAGCTTTGTAGCAATTTGCAATCAAGTTGAATGGCTCCATTGTAAATACTTACTTAGGAATCCACGTCCTGGCCCTGGCATGCTTTTCCCCGGCCAGGTGCACTGGCGGTCACCTTGCCTTTCATTGTGCAACGTGCAGAAAAATACAATGTTTGCTGTAGGGAAAGATAACAGGAGTGAAAATGTCTTCTGCCCTTTGTTTGAAGTACAGGACCTTGGGAATGGGGCTGGGCTGGCTCCTTCAGCATGCTTGTGCTCAAAGGCTGCTATTTCTACCAGCCTGGGGAAGTGGTAATAAAGTATTTGTTTATCCTGCAAATGCATTCCTTGCATCGCAGATTTTATTTCCTTTGATTTCTTGTTACCCACTGGAAACTTACTTTTTATTCAAGTTGGTACAGTTAGAAAGGTACTGAATCTTCTAATTCAGATAAGGTCCCAGTAGTGGCAAGAAGAGCAGTGTGTTTTTATGTGCTACACTCTCTGGATTATCTATTAAAGGTTTTCTCATATCCCTCCCCACTAACCGCTTAAAAAGAGAAAAGGAAATCACCCTTCAGGTCTAAATGATAATTTTTGCCTATTTAAAAATCACTATAGGTCTTCCAAGAAATTATCCATTAAGCCTGGAAATGAAGTGGTATCTATGGCTATTAAAAAGGAATATTGACTATTAATTTATGGCTTTGACAGTGGTATCATTGTAGATACTAAATGAGGCAACAGGATACATTTCCCCATTAATAGCATATTGCAGTCAACACATTTACTGGGAAATGGACTCATTTTGAGAATGATAAAAGTAAAGTTTTGCAGCTAGTTTATTATTAGAGATACAGCTGTAATTAATATATAGTCAGTTTGTTGCCCTCTCATATTCCATGGAAACAACTCTGTTGGGAGATTAGATTGATCTTTATGACCTTAGTAAGGCCAAGCCTGCCCTGGAAATGAGTCACACAGACTGCCTGAAGGAACATTGAGGGTTATCTGCATCTCTCCTTTTTCAGATGAGAAAACAGGGCCACAGTGGCAGAATGAATCTATTCTACATCATGCAATTATATCACGTCACGGCTTCAACCAGTTCAGAGACTAGACCGAAATAACACAGTGTTAATGTGTTAATATGATCCCTTATATGAATTTTAGATTATAATAGAATGAAATAAACACCCT